ATAATAAATGACTCGGCCTATGATTTATTCCCTTATCCTTAAGGAAAGTGTTTTAATAATAAAACAAGCAATAATGAAGAACTTAGAAAAAAAATATGTCACTGAACGCAACTATTTTTCTTTCATATATTTACAAATGTCATACTTGTTTTGAGAAAGCCACTGTCACTTAATGCAAAATTGGGAAAACAATGTGAACTTGTACTTTTTTTTTTGAATAACAAGTTGATCTGAGGTAAGTGCAATACGGTCTATGACTGACATTAAAATGTTAGTTATTTACATTTTACCTCAGGCTACACTTTACTTCAAGCGTGTACTCTAAAAGCTATGTAATTTTAAACTACCATATATATATTAAATGATCGTATTTTAACACAACGTTAACTTTGTACTTAATCTTACATCAACCGGAGTGTGTATGTACGCATTACAAAAATAAGTCACGACCCTTCGTCACAGCTCATGGAAATTTGAAGTTAAAAAATTGTCATACATAGACACAAAGGTTAGCCTTCTTGTGTGCATACATAATTGTTATATAAAATGTTCGCTGCAACGTGACGTAACTAGGTCTTTCAATGTATATGTAATTAATACACTGTTGCTTTCAAAACATAAATTAAACGTGCGTGCATAAATGCATAAATTTAACCGTAGACTTATTAGCTAAAAATATGTGTTCATCGTGTTTAAACGTGGCAACTCATCTTCATTTATAATAATCTCGGTCAAAATGGCAGTTAACCAAGCAAGCTGAGACAATTAATTGTCCTTGAAGGTATAGGAGAAGAAATGCATGACTAACTTTTCTATTTATAAAATATTCATAAGTGGCAAACTGAATAAAGCTTGTAAAAGTTATGTAAATTTAGACATTTTCACTCCCAAATGGCCATGAGTGTGACATAAATATCAAGAATGATTCACCAACATGTCCTTTAATCAACCCCATTAATTTGTTTAAATCAAATGAATTTCAATTACAGGAAGGAAGATATTAAAAGAGAAAAAGAACCAGTGACAAGTAACTTTAGTCTGATTTTATACTTCAAGGGGTGCCAAAATCCCAGCTAGCAGTTGAGGATTAAGAAATGAAATAATAAGCTCGTCAAACTTAAAAAAAAATCGCTCTCTGTTCATGAATATTACAAGAACCTCGTTATTTATCAAATATTAATGCCTGCCAATAACCGAAGAGAATGTTCCTAATACCAGACAGACAATCAATATAGTAGCACAATAAAGTAATTAACTTCCAACACAGCTTTAGATCAAACATGTTTTTTCTAACAATAGCCTATTGTTACAGAAAATCGTAATAACTGTGTTTATAACATGAACTTTTAATCTCGAATTACATGACGATATATTCTACAGACAAGGTCACATTTCATTTATATAATTCCTGTCCTTTCCTTATGTATGTCAACAGCTTAAAGCAAAAAAACAAAATGTATATCCCTTTCTACCTTGTGATTGTTGATACTATCATAGTATCATGATTTTAAAATTCCTGAAAATCCTGAATTAAGTAGTTTTTCTATAGTTTTACAAAGGAAATAGAAGGCTTTCAGGAGACTGAAAATCCTGAATTTCAGGAAAAATCCTGAAAACTTTTAACCCATGTCATAGAGGATATCATGGGTGGTGTGGCTGAACGGTAAATGCATTAGATAAGCTGGCAGCGTGGGTTTAAACCCCATCATTGGGCAAGCTGTTGTGTCGTTGCGCAGAAACTTTATACTTGTTTGCTCAGTAATGGTTGGTTCCAGGAACAGATTTAAGTGTGTATTTATAAGCTAACAGTTTCCAACACAATCATACTAAAATAAATGAGGTACAAGATGAGATAAATGACCCAAAGAACATGAGAACATTTTTGAGCAGTTTACAAAATATCATCTCAATAATCTCAATCATGGTAAGGCTTATATCAGTTTTGACCCTGCTAAATTTATGAAATGGACTTGCCTTATGTTTGAATTTGGAACAGTTCAGTTTTAGTTTAAGGGAACTTTAAGACCACAATGATGAAAACAAGCAGCCGATAGGAAAAAAGTCCGAAGAGACTGCATGGAAATGTGGGACAGTCACATATTCTCAATCTGATTTAACAATAATATCTGTATCAGCGATGGTAAGAATTCATTTGTGCCGCTTTGACCAAGCTAAAATGTAGGAAAACTTGGGAATTCTGTTTTAACCAACGTGACCATGACCCTCAGTTTCAATGGATGAAAACAATGCGGCAAAAAACACCCAATAAATTACAATTTTAATAATAATCATTCAATAACAATTATATTTAATTAAGGTTATATAACACTGCCTCAAGTGAATATATCAACCTTTGAATTACCACATGAAAAAAACCAAAATGTTCAAGCTTGGTCTTTAAAAGGTATTCAATGTCAAAATCTGCATACAATGAAGTACATGTTACAACGTGCTTTATCAACAAAATAATGTAATTGATTATGATGACTAACTGAGGATGTAGTTTTAATTGCACATTTGAAATAAAGGTAGTTCATCTCCTTTGGTAGCAATTTATTTTCAATTTAGTAACCTTGACACTAACAACACCTTATTATTAGCAAGAAAAAACAAACAACAAACTGCAGACAGATTGATTGATTGATTGACTGATTGGGTGGGTTTTGCATGGCACCGATACAGTATAGGTCATATGGTAATGTTCCAGCTTAACTGGTGGAGGAAGACCTCAGGAGCCCCTCCATGCATTATTTCAGGCACGCACTGGCACCTGAGTAAAACCACTGACATTACGTAATCTATCTGGATAGCTTCCTCACATGCTCCGAAGAGATTCAAACCCATGGCAGTGAGGGGCGAGTGGTTTGAGGTCAAGGACCTTAACTGCAGACAGAACCACAGATGTTGACAAACTGCTTGTAATATAAATGTACTGTAATTAAATATAAACCCTACCCTGCTTAATATATTGAATGGATTTGTCCTGCTTTGAATTTGGACCTGCCCATTTTCAACTGGAGGGGTTTTATTATCATAAAAATGAATTTACTAGCCTAAAGATCATTCATGTTCGACTGCTACAATGTTCAGCCTGACTTGAGCCAAGTGTTAATTTTTATAATAGACATATCATACTTTGAATTTGGAAATGCATAATCTAAATGTTAGAATTACTTAAACCAGAGTATACATTGCATACTTTTTTAAGTTAACACTTTTTTATTGCACAGTTGCTTTACCTTGTAAATGCCTTGAAAGTTAAAAAACAAAACATTCAATTACATACAATTATCATATTGGTATTTCAAGTATATTTTTTTATCTTAACATTCTTTTCATGATGGGATATATCATTTTAGCAAGTTTGTACTTTTCCTTTATCTTAATTTGTCAAAAGCCGCAAGGGAGTTTCTAATTTCCTCTGGTCATTATTAATTACGGACACTAAGTTGACCTCAACGTGACTGGGTCATATCTAAGATATGATCAAAGAAATTTCATGTGTTAATTATGCATGTATTATCTTTATAACCTATAAGTACAGTGAACCTGTATATTTTCAGGGCAATATATAGGACAGGGCATTATTTATTGCGATTATCTTTACAACAGTTATGCAAGAGCACTTTTTGTTTAGATAAGTCTGGACTTTTTACCATTGTTATGACTTCATGTTTATAGTCACAAAATATTGTCCCTAGACCAGTCGCTTCTTTTTGGTTTCATAATTTTAATAAACACTAACATACATAGTCACAAAAAATAACGACTAAAATCACAAGGTATTTATGATTATCAGAGACAAAAATGTTTGTAACATTTTACTACTTAAACAGGGTACGTAATCTGACACCTGTCATTTTATATATAATTTGATACCAACATAAAAGCTCCACGGTAATGTATACTTTGTCACATAAGTTCTTTTGAATCATAAAATCACATTAACTTTTTCAACTACATACATGTACAGGTTGAATTATAATGTCAAAACCCTTTTACAGTACAAATTTAACTGCCACATCAATAGTTGAAATAAACTAGGGTACTTACAAAGTAAGTCAAGGTGACGTTGTAAGTCAAGGTGACGTTATTGACCTATAACAATGTAAAAAAGTTCTTGATTGCTTTTCCAATACGAAATGCTTTCAAAAAAATAGTAAAAAAAAACAAATGTCAAATAAGTGCCTCTTAACAATCAGTCTACTGATTTTAAATAATAGGTTTACCAAGCTTTGAAAAAGTATATTTCAATTTAAAGGAATTTCAGTATCAAAACGCAAAAACTGGGCTTAGCAACCAACAGTATATGGGCTTAGCAACCAACAGTATAGAGCCTGGTCAGACTCCACGGATGGCAGGCTAGCCTAGCACAACACTGCATGGTGGCAAATGCTTTTCACTTTTGGTTTGAGCAGGTCTTTGTTTTTCTTAAATTCGAAATTTCTGGTAATAAAAGGCATTTTTTTCAGGTAATAAAAGGCATTTTAATGTCCAAAAAAAAAAGTAGTAAGCATGTGACTTTTTAAAAAATTCCAAATTGATAATGTTTGTTGTGGTTTTTTCCCCTTAGTCTGGCTTAGACAACAGACTGACAAAAGGATTTCATAAGAGAGTTAAACACATAGCCGTGCAGCATTTACGACTCCGTAAAAATGGTATTGCACAGCCGTGCATATATTTTGACGTGAAGTCATTTTTGTTATATAAACATAGTATTAAGACGCGTTAAATGTTAGCATTATACTAATTAGGCGCGTCAATGACAAATGGGCCTTTTCACTTCTAATGAACTTTAGTTTTGGTATGTGATAAATAGAATATTAAATTCATGTAAGTTTAATACTAAATTTATTGAACTCGTTGAATAAAATAATATTACGCTCGCCAGAGGCTCGCATAATATAATTTTATTCAACTCGTTCAATAAATTCAGTATTAAACTTACACTCATTCAATATCCTCTATATCTCTCCTGCACTGACTTTTCGTAATTTTTCATTTTCTATGTTCCTTTCATTACCAATATACTAAAGTTCCCAAATAAAACAATTTGCTTCACATTTTCTCAAATCTATGCGTATGTTACTGTTGTTAATGGTCTAAAAAAACAAAATGCCTGTTGTTTATAGCTTTAAATTCAAGGTTACAAAATGTCACTGTTTTAACTCATTGATCAATTAAACAGTATTGAACACATTGACAATAACCTACATCTGTTGCTCGTGGCACAACTGTTGTTTATGTACAAAAAAAGCTACTCTAAATTTGTACAAATACCATGAATAAATTCCAATCTCATTAATATTCATAAGGAATAAATTAAGAAAATGAACCAATTACACGTCACCAGTAGTTCTTGTGTAACAATATATGTGAATACATTCTTGATAATTATTTCTAAATTCTGTCTTAATTATCTGCCTTTATTATCACAAAATAATTGTTCTAATGTTCCTTATTAAATAAATAAGTACAATTTCTGACAACATAAAAACATTAACAGCTTCTGTCTATTGTTTTTTTTTTATCCTATTTTACGAATTTAATGACCATTTAGAGTAATATGTAATGAAAATAAGTACTGAAAAATATTAAACAATTACTTTGAACTGATGATCCGAAAGGACACAAATAATGAAAGTTTACACTTACGTTTTGATTATCTTAAATTAGGTAATAAAAAAAAATCTTCATGAAATCATACATAAGAAGGAATGAGTTAAAAAAAATCTACCTCTCCTTGGACACTAAGATGTAAACAGCAATAAGAGCAAAGTCTATAACTTTTTCTGACTTCTTGTTGTACGGTCCCAAACAAATGGAAGACTGTGTCGAGCCTCTGTTTTAACAGGCTTTTCCAAGACATTTTCTATACTCTTCCCTACAGAAACTTTAGTTTTATCATTACTTTCTTCAGTCTTATTGTCAAAGTTTTCACTTGCTTTGTTTACAACTTCTGTACCTTTAGAATCTAACATTCCAGTCGAGTCACATGATGAATTCAGGACCACTGATGTTGAACTAGATGCCGTCACATTTTCTCCTAGTGATGAAACCGACGATGTAGATGTTTCGTCTGTGCTTATTTTCGCCTGTTTTACATCACTCGCATCAGTCGACTGCGATGAGCTAGCTCTTTTACGATGATGGAAAAACTTTTTATGCTTGTATATAAATTCCTCATTTTCTTCCCTTTTCTTTTCATTTTCTGAGCTAGATTCAAAACCTTTACTCGATACTAGCTCTGATGAACTGTTCTTACCCTCTTCTTTGTTTGCAGACATTTCACTAGCATTACTCAAGTTAGAATTTGTCGACTCATTTATTTCTGAAATTGATTCAGGTTTAATAGATGTTGTTGCCATGACTTTAGGAACGCTGTCCCAACTGCTATCGGGACAAGCTTGAGAAGTATTAGACTCAGCTTCTTGTTTTACTACAATCTTACTACTTACAACATCGGTCGATTCTTCAGTATCTGGTTTCACAGAAACCATCGTTTGTATTTTTGCAGTAGACAAAGTTTTATCATCCATGTCAACTTTTGATTCAGTTTCGTGACTAGTTAAATGGCTATTATAAGTGTTAATATTGTCATATTGCAAGTCACATTTCACACATACATAAAATGTCTGATGAGATTCAGATTTTTGAGCATTTTCGTCATTTTTATGTTCCTGCTTAATTACTACAGCATTGTCTTTAACATGAACTTTATAATGCTCGCGTAATGATTTCTGATCAGGAAAAGGTAAATGACAGTCTGTGCAAGTAAATGGTCCGTTCATTCGAATATTGCCATGTTGTCGGCAGTGTCGCTTATATGAGCCAAAGTCATTGAGTTGGAATGTTTTACCACATTCTGGGCACTCTAAACATTTTGTCTCGGTGTTTTCAAGCTCATTTTTGTCACCCTCTTCACTACCAGTGCAACTTTTAGAGTCCACTGGTGATTCTGAACTCCTTTTTCGCACTGTAAATGTATTAGGTGCACATTTCTGATTTATTAGTTCATTTTCTGGAGAATTACTCTTACGTTGTACATGAGATTCGCGAATATCTGAAATACCTTGCATCAACTGCGGCTGTGGAAGATGCAAAGCTGTCTTTGTAGCTGAAATTGTTTGAACTATTGTGTGCTCGGCTCTTGGTTCGAATCCATGTTGATTTCTAAAATGTTTTCTGAACCCATATGGACTGCCATATGTTTGAGTGCACAGTCTACAGATTAAATACAGAATATCATTAGGGTCGTGATTTCCGATAATGTTTTGTATAGGTTCATGTTTAGATACATTATTAGATGATAACCTCTTAGAATTCAAATCAAAGTTTGACTGTGTACCTTGAAATTGTTGTTGTTGCTGCTGCTGTTGTTGTTGTTGTTGTGGAGACTGTTTATTTAACATTGGCGGACCAGTCAGGTGACTACACTCGGTCTGTTTTTGAGAGGCTGGAGGCTTCATATCAACCAAAGGCTGTCCAACAGTTATTCCACCAGTATAATGTGGTGATGGCAAAGGTCTATTTTGCATCATACTTAGCATACCAGGTGGAGAGGTGCCATTTGGACTCTGTTGAGGGTACCCATGTGTAACATTCCAACCATCATTTGGAGTGAGAACTCTATTTATAGGAGTCGGGGGTTTTGTATTTACAGGGGATGACGGAGGAGAATTTAACTCTTGCCAGTATTTATCAACGCTACTTTCTAAATGCTTTATGAACGAATTTGATGGATTGATTCTTTTAACAGCCGATGCATTACTAGATGACCTGTTACGAATAGGTTCCCCTTTAGGTTTTTTCACCGTTAAATCAAGAGGAGCTTCAGTGGAACAATCTGAAGCACAAGATGAGGAATCTGTGTTTCTAGAAAAATCTGCATTTCTCGAATAATCAGACTCGTAAATACGATGTCCAGAGCCTGGTCGCTGATACTGGGGACTGGTGTGTTCTTGAGAGGGCACTGAAGATGGCCTTGCATGATATGGACTTTGTTTTCCTGACCTAATAGCAAGTCTCTCATTAAAAGCGTTTTGAGAATACTCCTCTCTACTACGTTGTTGGAACTGCCCTAAATAATGAGGATTTTCCAAAACGTTAGCCTGTGGTCGACTCGCAACCATGCTTTGAGCTGAAACTTCACCGGGAACCATAATCTGACCACCACTATACACCTTTGTGGATGTTATGGGAGGGTGATGTGGTAATAACTTATGCATACCTTGATATGCCATCATTCTCGGAGAAAGTTCCGGATGAGAAGATCTAATCATCGCTGAAATTTCCCTCCCATGACTTCTATCCATTTGAGCTGCCATGCTGCCTGCTGAGAATTGATGTTGAACTTGTGGTGATTGCTTACCTGGATGATGATCCATGCCTGAAAGATCAATCTTTCCTTGCCTAGAATGATGTTGTTGCTGCTGCACACACATTGGGCACATACAGCCTCTGACATGCACTTCCTGTTTACTTTCACCTCTCATCGAATGATTCATGTCCCTAATTTGTCCCGGACTGACCTGCATTCTTGGCATATAAGCAGTGTTATAATTAGCAGTGTTTGTCACCTGTAAATGATGAGGCGAATGAAAAGCTGAGGAATGATCTGATGCTCTCATATTATTTGGAATACCTATCTCCTGTTTATAACCAGGGTTGACATTCATTTTAGCTTGCATTTCCATTTTAGCTTGTAGTTCCATTTTAGCTTGCAGTTCCATTTTAGCCTGCATTTCCATTTTAGCATGCATCTCCATTTTAGACTGCATTTCTCGATTTCTTTCCATCATTTCATTCCTTCTTGAATAACCTGGATGTATCTGAGGATGCCTGTTTCCAGGGTCATGCTTTGCCTGACTTGAATAATGGTCCCTAAATTTAGAATCAACCATTTGTTGACCTGAAACAGGCTGGTTATACCTAGGATCAGCCTGTTCATGAACATTATTTGAATTTGGGCTCTTTTGTCCATACATTTCACGACTCTTGGGTCTTAAATTCTGTTCTGGATATTTCACTGGCTTTTTCTGCTTTTCAGATTCTCTATTCATCTTCTGAATTGCAAGACTTTGTTGCTCTTTTGTAGTTAGCAAGCTTTTTATCTGTATACCCTGTGTTATCATGCTATTGACAAGACCTTGTGCATTGAAATTTTCTTGTACACTTAATTTTTTACTACTTTTAGTCTCCTCCTCCTTATTCTCGTCTCTAAAACTTAATTCCAGAAACCGTTCTATATGATCCTTTAGTGTTATTTTTTTCTCCTGATCCGATTTATCCACATCACGGTCACATTCAGGCTTATCATTTCTATCTTCACTCGTACTGTCCACACTTTTTCTCCCTTTCTCTGGTATTAGAGACTCACTACACAGTTTCAAAATATTTGACGATTTCGATTTCTCTTCTTCGTTACTTTCCTGATTGAGAGAATTATCTAGCACTTTATCTATAAATGTGTTAAAGGTAGTAATTGTCCTTTGTTGAATGTGTTTTAATTGTTTTTCTGTTAACTCAGTATTAACCATATCAGTAATTATATCCGAAAGTTTAATCTCTTCCTTTTTAACCGGATTTTCTCCCTCATCTGGTTCAACCTCTGTCTCTTTTTTAGCACTTTTTTCAGTACCAGCATCTGTGTTCGTATCAGTCTGCTGAGCATTCAAAATTTCACTTTTACTGTCTTCATTTTCAGTGTCCTTTTCACTATCTTTATCTTTATCATTCTCGTTCTTATTTCGCTTCACAATTCCTGTATTATTAACCCCATGATTCAAGGTCAAAAAGTCTTTCTTCAAGAATTTTTCATTATCTGTTTCCGAATTACTATCCTTCGTGTTCAGACAATCCTCTATTAGCATATCAATTCTTGTTTTTACACATCTAACCTGTTCCGAATTCGCTTCTCTTTGCTGCTCTCTTTCCATTTTACTTTGTTCCGCATCATTTTTAGACATGGGTCCATTTTGTGAGGCATGCTCAGAATCCTGTACGGAATTAATCTGACCCATTTATGACCATCAAAAGTGTTCTACTGTAAATCTGAAAAGATAATAGAAAAGGCGTTTAGAACAAGCCATCATAGAATTTAAGGAAAAAACAAAAAAACTTAATGTTAGCTTGATTAGTCAGTGGTTCTACTAAGGTACATGTATGTTACTGAAATAAAGCACAGAGGGGCACTGAGGTCTCCCTCTACATTTAAAGTTTCCATATGACTTATACTAGTCATACTTATATATACTTATTAAGCATGACATACCTTGATCAGTGAATACATGTAGCTTTTAAGCTATAATGTGCGAAAATGTAAAAAAACATTTTTAGCGTTGGTGATATTGACCTTTTAAATAAGTGACCCAGACCCCACCCAAATCAAGATATCTACCAACCAAAAATAAGCTGCTATGTCACAGTTAAGGTAAGCAAAATTGAATAACTGAACAGGAAATGGAATTTTGAAACTGCCAAAGGACAAAGCCGTGACTTATAATACTATGCACCTAAAACATTTTGGAGCAAAATAAAGAACTGATAATTCATTAAAGCCATACTGACACATGACCAAATCAATGATTCAATTTAATACAGATCCTGCCACAATCAGCCACTAAAAAATATATTTCAAATAAAATGCTTTATTCATATAATTACATTGACCTCATATTCACTACATTTAAAATTTCACAATTTTCATAAGCCTGTTGGTGGCAACAGACTGTGCCCATTGTCTGCATTGTTTGCTATTCTGTGAGTACTCATCTAGGAATTTCCCCCTAAAATGGTGAATGGCTTTGTCCAGATTAACAAATGGGCAAGTCCATTTAAGATATTTAGCATGGTTAAGGTTAACTTAATATAGTTCATTCAGTAATTAATTAACAGTAAATCAATATTGATACAGCTGCATTAAAATTACCTGCCTTTCATGCATACATGTTGTTTAAAGTTATTTTTGCCTCACCTGAGGGCGTTACTAATTAATTTGACCTCCATGTATATTATTAGTTATAAAGATCGTTGACAGGTTATATGGTCCTATATAAACGGCTGTTTGTAAATATAACCCGAGCCGCTAGGCGAGGGTTATATTGCAAACAGCCGTTTATATACGGCCATATAACCTGTCAACAATCTTTATAACGAATTCATAATACAGCAAACATCATTTTGTGGAGAAAAAGTAAAATATCGACAGCAGCCGTGTATATAAAACTATATAAACGTCACGATTATCCAATGAAAAGCGACGTTACAAACGTGCAGTATTATAATGGTTTACATTACCTTTTTACAAAAAACATTTGCCTCTGACAACAGTGATGTGTGTGTGTGTGGGGGGGGGGGGGGGGGAAACAGATGTTCCCAACTTCCCACAGCTTGTTATTGTCAGTGTCAACATGTAATTTAAATTTCCCTATGTGCAAGTCAAATCAACACTGTAAAGGTCATACTTTTCAATCTACTTTTCTATTTTTTCTTCACTTTTACTTAGAACATTATTTTAGTGTATAAACAACCCATAAAATTACAAAACATCAAAACATGGTTATTCATATTTGCACTTTATTAGTAGTCATGTGAGAGTCATATAAGGATCTCGCATGAGATGTCATAATATAATTTCATGTAAAATTCTGTTATGCTCATCCAATAAACTGTTAAATATACATAAAACCCAATAAAGGAGCATACCTTCAAATTCATGCTTTAGTATTTTCATGAAAAGTTTGAAAACATTTTTTGAAGTCAAATATTGTATAGTGCACAAGCAAAGAAAGTAACATACTTATTGCAAATGGCACTTATAATCCATATAAACCACATAATCTAAAATATGCCCTTACTGTGTTAGTCATGCAATAGAAATATAGTGCAAAGTAAAGTCAGTCATTACTCGCACATAACATGTGAATTATTACAAGATACTTAAATCATTTTAATTTTTTAATTTTCTTAATATCCTAGTAATTGTTTTTCTCTAATTTCATTTCTTTATTCTTTAAATATTTTGGCTCATCTGGAGGCATGCAACTTTAATATTGCACTTTGGTTTAAACTCCATAAACATTTTAAGTACCTACATAATATAATACATGTCCATAAACACTAACCCCCCCCCCCATACACACAAAAACAAAACATTTTTTTAAATCAACAAAATCACACATATTAGACAACCTTTTATTTTTTTCACAAAAAATTACATAATTTTTTTTTTTTAATGCTTTTTAGTTCACTTTACTTTGAGTCGGTCAAAACCAACACTGTAACATTTTACAAGAAAATATTGAATTATTTATCACAAGGTAAAAAGCTCAAATCATGTATTATATATGAACACTAAGGTAATGGAAACAGGGTGCATAACCTTCACGCTACAACAGTTTAATGGAAAAAGCTTCAACCACAGTTTTCCATAAATTCAAAATCAAAATAAATCTTGCACATATCTTTTGGCAATTAAAAAGTTATTTTGAGACCGCAGACTTTTACATTTTGATAATTATTATAGAGTACATGTTGTAATTTGTCTGGTTATTTCGGGATTGGTGCCAATGTGCATAGGTGTAAAAGGTTTGTTATGTTGGTTAATGTTGTACCATTTATAATTAAAGTCAAAATTATGATACATCTACTTAATATTTAAACTAACATTGGAGCACTTTTAGAATCTGCCGGCTGCAAAATCCATGTTTTAAAATCATAACGCTAACCCTTAACCCTCTAGTCCTAATCCCATAACATGTATAACAGAAATGGTTAAACCCAAAAACCCTATCCCTAACTGGCAAACAGAAATACAACAGCACTGTCATTAACTTACTATTTGGTTGGTGCACAAATATAACTTACATTTGCAGTTTTAAGACATATTTAAATCATAACGATTTTTTCATTTTAACTAAGTAATGTCAACTGAAAATGGGCAGACAAAAGTTCCATGATCTCTGGACAAAATTCAGAAAGGTACAGACTTCCTGAAATATGTTGGTCCAATGGATATGTCCGATAAATTTTGATTAGGTCCTACAATTTTTTATTCCGAATCGGTCCGACCGTCTGGCTTTTATCCAAGTCGCATGTATACAACATGGCATTGTTTAAGGTGCAAAAACGCGGGAAAAAACGAAAATCTAAGTCAGATGAGCACGCAGAACTGCAGTAAAAGGATGAAAAGAATATCCTGAGACAATATATAATGAAAAATGGAAGCAGGACCGAGTATTGTTGGTGTATGACAGGGAGGAGAACTGGTGAAAATGCGCTGTACGAAATGTGCTGATTTTTACAGCGAAAAAATTAAAACCAAAAAGTGTCTTAGAAATACAAACACAAGTTTTCCTTTGATTTTGATTAATTTCAATTTCATTCGGTCTGACAGATTTTCATTTCGGTCTAACAGATTTTCATGGTTTGTCAGACCAAATGTCTGACGCTTTTTTTTAACTTTCGGGAAGTCTGAGGTAGATGTATTTTAAACACAGCATTACAAAATAACTATACTGATTTTTATGAACATAATGTGCATATACAATTAAATAGGAGATAATAACTGTTAGTACAAAGCAGTTGTAACAACCTTTATTTCTGCTTTGTCCTTCGATTTCTACAAAATTCTTTTGAATATATTAAAAAGAAAACTTTTTTTAGATATCAAATAATAATTTCTTTTGTGCATTTTTGTTGCTTAGAAAAGCTTGAGCTGATTTTTCATAAGGTTAGTTCTCATTCTGTATACATGTAGTCACTAGTCCTTCATTTGGGTCCGGTAAATAGACCCTTCCTACTGTAAAGTACAGACATTTTTTCCCAGTTCCACAGAACCAAACCCTAAAATATATAAGCTTTCAGTTTAGTTTAAATAAACAAAAATACAGACATTGACAAAATCAATCTATAACGTAAATATTAATAATATTGTGTTTACTTTACCCTTTTTTCTGTACGAAATCTGCTGTGGTCATAGTATTATTTTTACAATAGGTTTATCTCTTAGATTTGGTTTGCTATTGCTAATCATGGTCATGCAACTACATAGTTAGGTGAATAAGCAGACGCTTGTTTTGGTTGAGTCTATTATGTTTTGTTTAGGGGGTGAGTTGTCATACACAAATTTACAATTTATATGCATTTGTTTTTTTCCAATGATTGTTATTATCTTAAATGCTTCTGGGATTGTTGTTTTATCAATTCATTTGTAAATAAGATTTTTATATGTCTATTAACGGAATAATTTTAATGAACACGAAATTAGTTCACACCTACATGTGTATTGGTAACGTGATGCCGGCTCGCCACGGCGAGCCGGTATTACGGTAGGATTTTACTGAGAAACAACCAAAAACTCCGAAGCCATCCAAAAATTTAATCGAAGCTTGGCTTCCAGCTTTCTACAAAATTTATCTATCAGGGCTAGGATCCAAAATTATTTAGCCAATCAAATTTAATCTTACAAAGCGTCAAAAAACCTTCAATTTTCACGCCATTTTTAAAAATCAGCAAGTATTGTTTTGAGCGCAAAGATATAATGATGATTAAAATGTTTGTCTTTATGAATTCTTTTCAATAAATCATATTTACACTGACTTCTGATTTAGCGATTTCACCTGTTTTCTCTGTAGTAAGTTTTCGTTTGGTTAATTTACATAAGTGTACATCTGGTTCTGTGCATTTTTTATTTTTTTTCCGGTCATTTTATCCTTTCCGGTATTTAGTGTATGTATTTACTAGCCGGATCCGGGACGCCCGGGATCCGGGATCGTATAAGATATGGAGGAAAAACCTAATGAACTATATTTGTGTTGATTGTTGTCGTAATGAAAGGCCATTAAACGTTATTTTTTTTATTGTATATAATGAACGTTAAATTAATTTAACTTAGAATATAGATATATTTAGAGCTATTTATTAACAAACTTAAAATGCGGAAATCACAATACTTATAATTATATGCCTAATTAATTGGAAAAATCAAAGACTATTTTCTTGAATTGGCCAAATCCCGGGATCCCTATATGTTTTTAAAACGATCCCAGCTTTTCTGAAAACTATATACTTGAACTGGCCAATCCGTGAGATCTATTTACATTTTAATACGATCCCGGCTTTTTCTGAAAACTATATTCTTGAACTGGTCAATTCCCGGATCCCTATATGTTTTAATAGGATCCCGGCTTATCTGAAAAACATCTTCTTAGACTGGTCAATTTCCGGATCCCTATATTTTTTAATAGGATCCCGGCTTTTCTGGCTGAATTGATTGACAACTTGTGTTTACTTTATGACTTGTGCCTCTCATTCCAATACTAAATAACATACATGTATTACAACTTAAGTTTGTATAAAGAGACATCTTTATGAAATCTACCTATCTAACATTTTGTGGTCAAGGTCAACAGGCCATATAGTAAATGTGCATAGACATAGGTTCTTCGTTCTATCTGTTTACATGCACCTTCATATATACTCATACTCATCTTGTTTAAACTGAGAGAACTTTATATGTCACTTTCAGTCAATGAGTTTAAGATTTTGAATTTACTGGTCCGAATTCCAGTTTTGAATTTATTCTACTAACTAATTAACAAAATTTTCTTAAATTTACACTGGCCTGAACTTATATACACTGGCCATCGGGCACCGGGCCAGTGTTGACTCCACTTTTATTTTGATGTTCGCTGAAGTCTCTTCAGCTAACAGAACTGTCATTTTTACATTTAAACACACCCCTTGAAAAAAATTACGAAGCGAGTCGCTACTAGCTTTTTTAAAAGCTAACCTTGTGGTTTAATCCAATGAAAACACGTCTTCAGGCAGAGAAAAAGTGTGCAAAGAGTTAATCGATAATCTTTATGTAGCAAGCAAACTTTGAATTGCAAGTATTTTTTCATATCTTTTCGGCAGGATAAACTGTCCGAGGAGGGCCGGGCATTTTCGTATCGTAAAATGTCTGCCATTTACAGTATCAAGTGATTATCCCAAGCACCACCGCGACTTAGCGCGGGAATTTTAATTATAGCTTACCTCGGCGCGTCGCATACGATGGAAAATACCTTTTTCATATTTTATTGTAATAAGTATTTACAAACTGTGTCTTTCGGGTTTTTTTTATCATAATGATGTTAATATGAATAAATAATCATGACTATGATATACAATGAAATTCTACCTTAAGTGTATTAAAAAGGTTTTTAATTTCCTGTAATTTTATTTTGTGATTATGCTTCAAAGCAGTCAATTGACCGTGAATTTTCTTTTCATATTTTGATTTCCTTGAAATCATTTTTCTCATCTGAAGGCATGCAACTTTAATATGATGATACATTAATTACATTCCATGAAAATGTTTAAAGATATAAAATATCTCATGACATGTTTGTTCATTTTACATTACACCTTTAATTCAGCAAACATAAAGTCTTCACAAAAAGTAGTATGCAATCGTACCTATATTACATACGACTGTATGTAATATTTTTCTTGTTTATCCCAATTTTGGCATCACACTATGCATTAGAGGAGACCCATTTTCAAAATTCTGAAAATATCTCTGGTCATTTTGTAGAGATAAATTATTTACATTTGGAACGTGACTGACCAGGTATTTGACCTGTCCGTGACTTGCTAAGACCTAAAAGAAACCATTTTAGATTAACATAACATTATTTGCTGTCCAAACGGTCCTCTAATTTTATGTCCAATTTTCAGGTCAAGTCACTGTGGTTCAGGTTTATGGTGTTGCTATAAAAGTACTTGGTAACATGTTCTAATCAAGATTTATTATCATATAATGTAAAATCTGTCCAATAAAACAAAGTATGATCGTTTTCATAATGATATCAAATTATTATCTCTAGCTAGCTATATACTGTTACATCATTCTATTTGTTGATTTTAAACATATTTGGATTGAATCTTGAAGCTTATCTGAATGTCCATCAAGCATGTTTTCTTGCCATTGAGCTATCTTCTCTTGAAAATAGCTTTAAAGTGTTAAATACTCACGTTCAGGGGAAAATAACTCAAAACCTAGGGTGCTGGCCAATATTTTTCATCTGTTTCAATTACAATTTTCTTTTAAACAATGCAAAAAAAAATCTCGGCGCTAGTTTCAATTTTCCTTCATTGTCTTTGTGCAATAAACAGCAGTACTACCATAAAGGTCTTAAAGTTTGCATAAAAAGCTAATGCACCGAAGGTTTAATAAGTGAAATGTTAGGAACCAATGCATAAAATCTCAAATCACATGTTCTTACAACTGTCCAATTATAGTCTTTACATTAATATGTTAATCTGAATTTAAGAAATCTTTCAATAAGATTTCAAGGTATAATTGTTATATTATAAATAATTAAATATATAAGAATGGGTTAATATAATCTTCTAGGTTATTAAAATTGCATAGTCATGTAAACAGAAACCTTCAGCACAAGTTTTCATCAGTTGCTTACAATATCAATGATTGTAATAATATACCATTACATTGCCAAATTTGTATAGTAAAATTGGACTTTGCCCTGTGTAAACTTTGAAACAGTCCGCTATTTATAATTTGACAGGGTTTTAATATCAAATGGCTTATATATACTCACAGGGACCTGCATGCAGTGGGTTTTGGGAGAGGCCTTAGCCTCTTGGCTTTGGGAAGAAGTATCTTTAAAATTGCTTGGGGAAGTAAAAAAGCTAGTGTTAACAGGGCTTCCATTAATGGAAGTTTAAGTTCAGATTTGTAGAAAAACTGCATAACTTTAAAGAAAATTTCCATTTAGAAGAGACCTCATAAAGGCCTTTGTTATATAAGGTGAAAATTTACTGTTTTTTTTTTTCTATCCCTGTAGTGTATAATAGTTTTTATATTTTAATATGTGCTACAACAACACATGAGACTTAAACCAGCAAGAGCCTGCCTGAAAGGTTAGTAGCATCCTACCTCTACACAATCAAGCCGCCATTGTCACGGTCAAGTTAGTTAAAGGCCAAGGTCATATAACCAGAAAACTTTTGCACTACTTGGCCACAGTAACATGGGTGAAATGATTAAAATAGTACATTAATAAATGATAATGTGAAGTATTTTACATCAAACCATCTATGTGACAGCGTACATAATGAAAGACAAAGCACACATGTTCAAATATGAATACTTATTCCAATAAAAGCTAAAAAATAATGTCTTAATTGCTTCTTAGAAATGATTCTCATCCAAGTACAAACCACTTCAATTGTATTCTCTTCAAAGAGGATTGTTTATGGGCAAAAGATCTTAAAGCATAAGATCTTAAAGAAATGAATAAATTAACAACTTTCCTTTTGTAGTTCCAGAAATTAATTTCCAGGAAGTATGGCATTAACATTTTATGAATTAATTGTCCATACATTAACATAATTCTCTTTTCTCTGAATGAGCTTTTGGAGATATCTCACAGACTAAGATCTGCATGTACTTCTTAACTTCATAGTTAAGATTTGAACCCATCACCTTCTGGAAGCAAAAGTGAGAAATACAAATGAGCCGTGCCATGACAAAACCAACAAAGTGCGTTTGCGACCAGCATGGATCCAGACCAGCCTGCGCATCCGCGCAGTCTGATCAGGATCAATGCTGTTCGCTATCAGTTTCTCTACTTGTAATAGGGTTGCCTGGTAAGCAATAAGCATGGATCCTGATCAGACTGCCCGGATGCGCAGCTGGTCTGGATCCATGCTGGTCATAAACCCATTAAGTTGGTTTTGTCATGACATGGCTCAAATTCAGCAGGTCAAGGGTTAAGTATTATAGTGCCAACTGATCTAAGTTTTCATACAATAATAGGTATGATTAAGTTGCTTATAAAATATCAATTGTACATTGAGGCATGCTGCTTTAATATAGTTGCATTCATGACTATAAGCTAATTAATCAATAAGCATAATCTAATACTATGATCAAGAAATTAAATCATATGAATAATTGAACAATAATCTTTCAGTGTGTCAATATATGAAGTGTAACAAAATATTTCAATTTCAAAACTAAATATAAACTTCAAAGAAAAACTTTTTTTTTTTCGAACTTTACAAAAAAATTTATTACAGCTTGAATTTACACCTCCCCCACCCCCTCAAAAAAACATGATTCACAAAGAAACTTTAGCTTACAATAATGTTACAACGACAACTTCCAGTTACCAAATGAAAAAAATAAAACAAAATCGACATGTGAAAAGAAGTTTAAACAGTGTTCACAAAAATCATACCTTTCAAAAAAAGCAGCAAAATACAAAATCCTCAATCTAGAGCATTGTTACATCACACTGTACCCAAGCATTTCATGATAAATGTATGTCCTAAAATAAACCGTATGCCTCCTTTAAAACATGTCAGTAAACAAGATTAATCATAGCTCACCTAGTTTATATACACTGTAAATCCCATAGCATAATCGTTAAGTATACCTGTACACGGCTATTTATTTACAACGACCTTGACTCAACAAGAATGTCAGTCTCAACGCGTTGTATTCATACATTCATACGCTTTTTTTTTTTTTTCGTCTTTCCTTTTAACTGCTTGAATGTAACTATATTTATTTTTACATTTCGAAAAAGCAAAAGAAAAATGGGTTTCACTTGACTTTGAAGTTTTTAAGGGGGGAAACAACACGGGAAAAACCCGAATCAAATTTTAAATTTCAATTTTAAAACGTTCGCACTAAGGTGCACTAGCTTTTTTAAGTAACTTTGTATCATGAGGTTTGGCATTAAAATGAACTAAAGGGGGGAAGATTTTTTTAAGGGTTGGGGAAAATCAACTTTGCATAGACCAGGCCCAATTTAAAAGGAGCACGCCTCCAGATTCAATAAAAAAATTCGGGAAAAAATTTAAAAAAATTATTTAAAATTTAAAAATTGTGATGTAAAAAAAAGGAAGTAATTTACTTTTTTGAAATGGGCCACTTACATTCCCCAAATACAAAAAGGGGTTAAAAAAACCCCAAATACTGAAAAATTTAGTCTTTTAAATTTTCCCCATACAGTAAAAACTAAAACTTTAATTTTGCATCTTTTTACCTTGCTTTAATAAAATCTTAAAACATTTTTAAATGATTTTATAATGATTATGCAAAATTTTTTTTGGTTATCCGTAGGCATGCAGCTTTATATAATAATTACAGTACTTAATCTTATCCTTGATAAAATAATTTAAAGTTCAATGTCGTTTAGAAATGACACAATGAACTTTGTAATATTTTTTCACGACCTTAACCACCCTGATTGCTTTAAATGGACTTGTTCATAATGCAATCTAGTCAAATTTATGTAAAATTTCAAAAATACATTATAAGCAATGCAGACTATGATCAGACGGCACGCAATTGGTGGTCTACACTGGTTGCATGGTATTATCAGTTGCTGCAAGCTCACTATCTTAAAGGCCTTAGAATTAATATTTGTATTCATACAAAGAAAATCAAGAAATATTTTCATACATCATAATTTATGTAACTGTGATTTTTTTTTTTTTAATATTTTGACATTTTAATGGTTTATTTATAGGAATTATTTTTTTTTAAAGTATTCAAGTACTAACGACAACAAAAAATTATTATCAATGTGATAATGATAATGCTTTAACCGTATTTTATTCATTTTTGTTTATTTTGTAAAATTCTCTATTTATTTCGCTTAAAAAAAAATCGTCAATTAAGTTGGACATCAATTCTTAAGAACCTTTCATAAATCAGTATAGTTTTAAAATAACCTTTGTAACTTTGTTCTTAAGTAATCTCTTCTTAAGTCTGGCCAACTTACTGACCTGAGGTCAAGCCCTAATAGTTTGTTATTGTATACTGCGCCTATTGACTTTGACCTAATTTGACTGCAGATATTGCAATAAAAAAAATTAACCATACAAGCATGCTATAATTGTCATATAAGGGCAGAAAAGGAAAATGTTATCCATC